TCCGCCCACTGGTTTGGTTGGTGTTTCTGGACGAGCTGCGTTGCCAGCAGTGGCACAACTAAAGCAACTCGACTGTAGCATGGATTGGCATGCTGTCACCAAACGCGTTGCGCTGAACTCGTTCATACGTCCGCTTTCTGAGCTGTTACCTGTTCATGAGTGAAAACTAACGGCCAAAAAAGGGGTCCCGTTTTGTAGTTTTATGACGGACTCCGCTTTTTTCGCCACTGGCGTACCACTCCGAGAACACCCAGGTCATTATAAACCCATTATTGTATCTATCGTTAATCCCTGCCTTTCGTTACGTAGCATGTCCGACCGGACTGTGTCGCAGAGGGCGCACGCATAGTCGGTCGGACGACAGCAACGATCGTAACTGTCGCACAGCATTGGATGCGTATCGATCGTCGGACTTGCCTGAGTATTCGACGATTAGATGCAGTTAGACAGTCAGACAGTTGCGATCGTTGCTGTCGGACGACCGACTATGCGTGCGCCCTTAAGCAGCAGTACATGCTCCCTGTTCTGTATGCATGACAACTCGTTAGAGAATGATTACGATCGATCTGGAGATTCGGTGACCAGCTGCTGATCGGACGATTCTGGAGGTTTCAAGATTCTGCTTTGAGGACTAAGTGTACGTAGATTGATTTGCCCGCCCTGTGCATGTATCAGGCCAGAAGAGTCGCTGGGTAGCAATCAGGATTCTTCTGTTTGATGCATGCAACGCGTGTCCCTTCGCCAAGTTCCGTCGAATCTTCCAAAGGTAGCTATTGAAAACGCTGCCTCAACATCATGGCTAGGGCGTCCAGCAACCGGATTAAGCATGGGTATGGACCAATTAATATTTATCCTTAGATTATCCACTTGACCCCTCCTAAAACTCTCCAAATAGGATACCGCGAGATTGAGATATGGCTGCCCGCCACGGCAGTCGTCTTTCGACTCTTACGCACGAAAGCATATCGCGAGGAAATGTGATCAGTCGATACACATGGGGTGAGGGTAGCACCTCATCCTTTCGATGAAATAGAGGTTATTAGGACTGAATAAGTCATCACCAACTAATATACAGCAAATAGGTACCTAATGGTAAGTACTCGGCGCGTAAGTATTTGTTCGATCGAATTTCCTCTCAAATCGCGCTTTCTCTGGGCTGTGTACGCGCTGAAGCGACTCCTGTCGCGGACTCTGACATCTGTCTTCCGCTACGTTCAACGCTTGTTCGCTCCTGCTCGCATAGTGCAATGCCTTGCACGCCACTTGTTGGGCCACAAACCCGCTGGACGCTTAAGAAAGAGATGCGTTCAAAAGGGACGAAGAAGGCTACGCTACCGTATTATGCGGACCTAAAGTATGTTTGGGTATCCTTCGGCATAGTTTACACATTGAAAACGGAGATAAATATCGCTTGATGGACGCTATACGCTGCCTTCGAATGCATGTTGACCAAGCATACCAATAGGCAACCGTTCCCACGTACGATGTTCTTTTTCATCCTGGAAACCTCGCTTGCTTTTTAGTTTGAGTCGGGACGCCTGATCCGATGTACTTCTAACGATACATAGACGACGGGCAATACGTTATAATACGTTTTGCCTTATCGTTGTAGTTGTGGCGTTGACGGCTTTTGAACCCGGTCCTTTAAGCCGCCTCAGATCCATCTCTCGTCTGCGCTCTCTCACCTCATCAGCGGTCCTGACCGTTGTGATCATCACACATTCAAACTTTTGCCATACTGGTTGGCTCACCCACCTCGAAGTCCCTCCCTCCTACAAGGCTTAGTTCTAGGGCTCTCACCTCCTTCCATGGGATTTGCACCAAGACCGAGCCCAGGTGCCGTTTCTAACTCGTCATGTTCCCTCTGAAATTGCGTAGGACAGGACATTGAAGAAAGTTCAAGTGATACTTCTGTGAACCGTTAATACGTGCGACAGAGTCGCTTGCTTGATGCGTCCGCAATTTTTTACACGATATCAATCTCTTACTCGCGCGTTGCAAACGAAGTCTTAAGTTGAGCGTGTCTCACACATATTGTGCAACAAATAGTACTCAATATAGTGCAGGCTCAATTGTGGAGGCATCCGTTTGCCTTTTATTCCAATTGCTAAAGGTTTAGAGCTATGTAGTATTAAAGACGATGTGCGTCTCTTAGCCTTTTAAACGCAACATCTGTGTGTAAACCTCAGGAGTGTGGGCATATGTGCCCATGCGACTATGTGCGTTTGGCGGGACTGTCTGCATTTTGAATGCGTCACACAATACTTGAGACCCTGGTCCTTCAATACGCTTTCAGTTCGCATGCTCTAAGCCGCCTCGCCACGCACTTTATGTGAGAAAGTTTCACGGAGCCTGGCTTCAGGCCTTCCTATGCTGATGACTCAACTGAATGAACAACGCTTCAACCTTCCTCCTACCCCCTGCCCGTCCCTCGCAATTTTTTCATGCATTACTGCTGATTTCTGTTGCGACCCAAACAGAATTGTCTTCAATAGTAGTTGATCTGAAAATCGCCTACTTGATTTGGTTTTTGCTTATATCTAGGCTGGACCATTGAGTGTTGTTAAGTTGTAAGCTGATTGATAGCCTTTACGAATATGAAGACATGTTCTTACCGAAAAGACCACTCTAATCAATTTCGATATACACCCATCATCCTAAAGTGTGTCTTAAGTTTGTTAGGCTGATTCCACTAAATCCTTGGTCTGGACCGCATAGCGGGGAGAAATCAAAAGGTTTGCTTTCTTTCTATTTCTCTTTCTATTTTTCTGAGAGCCACTGTAGCTTTCTGCGTAAATGTCATGGTAATGTTCTTCCATTTCCTGTTACTTTTTCTCCAGAGCTTTATCCTTGGGTACAGTTATGAGCACGACCAGCATGTAGTGTGAGGTTGTGCGGCCATCTGGTTTGAGCATTCAGGAATCCGAGCTCCACAGACAAGTCATTCCTATTAAGCTACTCGATAACCGTCACGCAAGGAAAATGGTTCACGTACACTAGAGTTTCTCCTCGGTTAAGTGACTTCATCGCGTTTTGCTGCGGGAGCCTCAGGTCCACTGCTGACCCAGAGTTCCTGCAGCGAAAAATTCTCCGCTCTTCGAAACGCGAAGAAGTCGTCGCTAGCGAACCACACCCGACAACTTGTGATGTGATGCCCCTTCCCCCCTCCCGCTTCCCCTCACCTCACCTTGTGCAAGTGCGTGTTATTATTCCCGCTAGCTAGGACCTTGATTCCTTGCGTGTCAGCAGTCATGGTCAAGCAAGCCCTCGCGAAATCCGTGACAAGGGGTTGTATTCATTTTGTTTCGAGAAAGTTTTGCATTGGAATAGTCAGCTTGGGAGGCTGTATCAAAGGCAGCGGTCGGAACAGTCGTTAGGCCTTTCCACCAATGATTTGTTCAACTACTCTCCTCTCAGCCATCGCTATCGCTCTAATCTTTATCGAAGATCAGCCAAAGGGTTCAAGAAATTCCGCCCTTTTAGTGTGGGATGTTTACCTCCTTCCCATGGCCGGTTGGTTTTCTAGAAGATGGAGTGAACAAATTTTGGCATTCTGATCCTGAAGCCATTGCCATTTTTTACATTAACTTACTTACATGCTTTAGTTAGGACCTGTCGATCAATGTTGGTGGGAGGATGAGATCAGCACGATTCATGTAGCCAGCGGTAGTAGCAATACCGTTGGCTGACGAATGTCAGGAACTTCGAGCTTCGTGGGCACCAGATTCTGTACACCTGACGCATTCTTAGTAGTTTAAGTCGGGTAATATCAGTGAGGCGAATATCATCTTCCGTTTTTTGTCGTTTTTCCTCTGAGGAACTACTTGATTTCGAGTGCCATCTGGCGAATGTTTCTTGAAGGGTGTCAGAAAATTCCTATGCTCTGTTTTCCTCTGCCGACGCAGAAATGTGACACATTTTCAATGTGCAAGCTGAAGAACCCCTTATGAATCAGCAGAAAGAGTATTGGTGCCAGCGCAGCCAAGTGCGTCTTTTCTTTCATCAAATGTGTCATCAGCATCCATAATAACTCTTCGATTCCTTTGTAACCAGGCTTTCATGAATTGGCTAGGAATTTGAAGTCAGGTTGGAGTCTGCCACGCAAGAATATGGCATATTGAACAGGAATTTTCGTATACCTTCTGGAATTCGTGGAAATTTCTGCGACCTTAAATCTCAATGAAAATTTTGTAAGCAATGACGTTCCTGTTCTCGTTTCTTTTCACATTCATTTCTCCCTTCTTACCGCTGATAATGAGATCCATACTAGACATCATCATACCAATTTCCTTACATCCTCTTACTCTCCGACATTTCTGTTATGTGAACATCCTTGGTGGTAATTTTCGAAATTGCTGTCATCACATCCCGGACGCCCACAATAGCACAGTCCTAAAAGGGTCAAAAAATTTTCTATGAAACTCCACTTATAGGGGCAATGCTCTGATCGCGAATATGCGTAGAGACATACTTTTTTGACGTTGCGCCATTTGGCACTGAAATGCGTCAAACTGGCGCCATATGGCGCTCATGTCAAAAACGAATGTCGCTCCGTGATTACGGCGCCAAACAACCCTTACGTACAAGTCTTTTTTTTACCGAATTTGAGCGAAAAGCTGTGACGTCGAACTGGTCACAAATGGCGTCAACGTCGAAAATAATGGTCATATTCGTGGTTGGGGTACTGGATAATCTCTATGGCCAAAGTTTCGAGGAATAGTTTTTGGCCGTTGGGGAGAGATGCCGTGTTTTGAAATTAATGTTGCATTGTTAATTGCACAGCATTGCGCTGCTTTGATCTGTGATCCCCTCGGAAGTGCCTCGATTGTTTTTTTTTTCTTTGCCGTAACTTTTGAGATATATTTGCACCAAGAAAAATACATAATATCTGCTTTTCAGTGTAAAAAGTTACGAGCAGGTCGCTTAGATGTGCGACTATCAGGTATGTGGGAGTTTAAGTGTTTAGCCGTTATCTCGTTATTAAATTTTATGATTTAGCCATGGACGATAGTTGGGTTATACGACCTTCTTCCAGGACCTTGGTAGGTTTTTTTTTCGTCATTTCATAACCCCATGCTTGAAGTAGGATGAGTTTTGTTTTAGTTTGGTCATAGTTGGAAAAGTGAAGACGAAGAGTGGGAGTTCGAAGATGGAGAAAGAAAGGTGAGACAAGATATGTGATCATTGGGGTAAAAGTAGGTCTACTATTGTATGTTTGTATAGTTGCAGTGTGAAGGATCTTCCATCGTTATACCATGTTGTGTCAGTGACAGTAAAAGGGCTGAATTTTATTCGAAGTTTTT